CGGCGCGGCCTCGCGGCGCGTGCGGCTACTTCTGCGGCAGGTGGTGCGGGGCAGGCCGGGCGGCGGCGGGCAGCGGCCGGAGATCAGAGTGCTGCACTCTGGGGCGGGGGCTGACACAGGTAACCGGAGCGCCCCCTCAGCTCTCCCCGCCGCCCCTGTGCTGCGCGCTGGGCCCCGGGCCCCGCGCGTCGTGCACCCCCTCCCTACTACTTCCGTGCGCTTGTAAGGAGCGCTTGCTGCGCGTGAGCGGAGAGGTGGAGGTTCTAGTCCCGACCTCGCCGCCCTAACTGCTGACTAACGCGGGGCAAATCATTTGCACTCTTTGGGACTCATTCTGTAACCGGAGTCTGGACCAAGGTTTCTGATCACCTAGAATAGTGCTTTCGACTTTCCTCACTCCTGCTTTTAGCCCCAGAATTGTAGCTTGGATTTAGTACACGCAGAGGTTAACCCAGCAGCCCTGAGGAGTTGTAGAAAGGTGGACTTGACCTTGACCCCTGTGTCCCAAAGGCCTGGAAGCTGGTCTGTGCAAAGTTCCAGCCTGAGCTTGTGGCAGCTTAGAAGTGTGCATTCCCACCAGAGAACCCTCAGTCGACATTGTTTTAAGTGTACCCACAAGCCTTTCCACGTCTTACAGTTTTCCTCTCGCAAAGCTTCACATATTCTTGGTGCTGAAAGGCTCTAAGTGAAATATACAATTGAGGTCATTGAGACCTAAATGGGAAAAGTGACTTGCTAGACTTGCTAGAATCACATTTTTAAAAAAGTGTATTTATTCCTTCCTAGAGTGCATATATGAGAGAGAGACAAAGACCGAGACAGACTGCCCCAGTAGGGTCCTCATACTGCAGTTGCCCCTGAGCCTCAGCTGGCCAGACCATAAGGCATGCACATGCCTGGCGAGGACTCCACACTCAAACCTGAAACCTTTCCATGTGAGTCACCCTCACAGAGCACTGCGTTTTACCACTGTGCCTAGAATCACATTTCTAAGCTCAATACCTTTGGCTCTACCTGAGCTGGTTCTATAGGGATCCTTTTTGTTAAATGTTGGGATTAGAGTATTTGCAGACTACTGGTGAGTAAGGAAGGGATGTCTGTTGATGCTGTTCTTGAATGGTAAAATGATTCCTCGCAAGATTTTGTCAATGGCACTGTTGCTTAGAATAGCCGAGATTTTCATTATAAAATTGTAGGTTTCATTGTACCTCTTGTCTTCTCCTCACCCCAGCCCCCACACCCCAATAATTTTCCTGGCAGTAATGAATAAGTTTGCATCCCATGCATTTATTTCATTTTTTTCATCCATTCATGAACATGGTGGTAGATGTGTGCAGAGACCAGAAAATAATTTTAAACAATGCCTAATTAAGAAAACATTTATTTAAAATATAATTTATTTTTATCAAATGATTATTGAATACCTGGTGGATTCAAGATTTCTTTTTGGCACTGGCAATATAATGATTATAACAGGCCCTGCACTCAAAAAGGAAAAAAAAAGTTTTGTAGACTAAATAGTAGTCTTCAAATATTTTTCTCTTTTGCGTGCTAAGACGATTTTGCAAATATGTATCCTTTTGCACATTTTTAGGTTGATACCTAGATTTTTCTTGTTATGTATGAATAGTTGCAAAGGGTGACATTTCTTTTTTTTTTTCCTTTTTCTTTTTCTGGAGAGGTTTTCGCTATAGGCATGTGCACTCGCTAGACAGACAGAGACAGAGAGACAGAAAGTGAGAAATCACCCCCCAAGGGGATGGCCACGCCACAATCCCTTCTCCATTCTCCTCTCAGGATCTTGGGCACACATGCACACGTGCCCGGCGTGAGTTTAAGCCACCGAGTCCAGGACTTGAACCACGATTGACTATGTGGGAGTCCAGCGACATAGCCATTATGCTAACTGCTGGTCCCTTAAGAGTGACATTTCTAATATGTTGTAAATACAGACATTTAAAAGAAAAATAGTTCCAGTTGTCTTTAAGGTGTATCTTTTAAGTGGAAATAGAATACTCTAGTGATTTTAAAAAATTATTTTAAAAAATTTATTTATTCCATGGGTCAGACTGAAAAACAGAGACAGTGAGAGAGAGTAAGAGGATACAGCATCCCTTCCCCACAAGGGTCCTGACACTTCCATCCTGACTTTCAGCCAGTCAAGATCATGGACAGGTGCATGCCACACAAACTTAGGGAGCTCTCTGGTCATCAGTAGGCAAACCTCCATATGGGTGGGCCTCACAGAATATTTTACCACCATCTAGTCTTTGCTACTATGTTTATTTTGAAAGTAGATAGAAAAGCTTTAACTGTTAGCAAATGTTTTTTATTCCTTTATCATGTTGAATATGTGTTAGAATTATATTTACTTCTCATAATTTTTTGTATATATTTTTTGAGGGAAAAAAACTCACCTTTGTAGCAATTGTAAATTGTATAGTAAAGTGGTTTTTAGTGCATTAAAAATGTTGCACAACTGTCACTACTGTGTAATTCCAGAACATTTCATCACCTCTCCCAAAAATACTGTAAACATTAACCAACATTTTCATATCTCTTCCTTTCCCCTAGTGTTCCCTGTCTCTAGTAACCACTATTATACTCTCTCCTTCTACGTAGACAGTATTTTAGCTTCCACAAATGAGTGAGGATATGCAGTATTTATCTCTGTTCTTGACTTTTCTTACTTAACATAATGCTCTCTACTTGTCAATCTTTTTTTTTTTTTTAAAAAGAGATTTTTGCTATAGGGAGTGTGGGATTGTTGGAGAGACAGAGACAGAAAGTGAGAAATCACCCCATAATGGAGATGACCACGCCACAATCCCTTTCTCTTCCATTCTCCTCTCAGGATTTTGGGCACACATGCACATGCTTCTGGCTTGAGTTTCAAGCTGCTGGCGTCCAGGACTCGAACCACAGTCAACCATGTGGGAGTGGTTGTGCCTTAACCACTATGCCATCTGCTGGTCTCAATATTTCATTCTTTGAAATGGCAGAAGAGTATTCCACTGATCCTATATATTATAAATCATCATAATAATATATATAAATTATAATTTATAATATATGTATTTCTTTATTCATCTGGTGATGTACATGTAGGGTGATTCCTTATTTTGGCTATTGTAAATAGGGCTGTAGTGAACATGGGAATTTAGGTATCTTCAAAATACAGATTGCCTTCTCTTTAGATACATACTCAGTAGTAGGATTCCTAGGTTATAAGGTAGTTCTATTTTTAGGTTTTTGAAGAAACTTCATACAGTATTTTATATAATGATTTTACTAGTTTATTGTCCCACAGTGTGTAAAAATTCTCTTTCTTTCCCATCCTTGCTAGCATTTCTTATTTTGTGTCTTTTTGATAATTGCCATTCTAAGTGAGGAGAGTTGATACCTGATTATCAGTTTGATTTGCATTTCTATCACTAATTCGATGATTAGTGATGTTGAGCATTGTTCCTGTACTTTCTGGCCATTCAAATGTCTTTTGAGAAATGTCTATATTCAGATAATGTACCCATTTTTAAGATGTGTGTGTGTGTGTATGTTTTTGCTGTTAAGTTGTTTGAGTTACTTGTAGGTTGTGTATATTAATTTGTTGTCAGATGAATAATTTGAAAAAATTTTTCTCATTCTGTAGGTTATCTCTTTACTCGCTTGATTGTTCCTTTTGTTGTGAAGCTTCTTAGTTTCATATAATCCCATTTGTTTATTTTTGCCTTCATCGCCTATGCTTTTGATGTCTTAACAACAACCAAAAAAAACTCTGCCCAGACTAATGTCCTAAAGTGTTTTTCCTTTGCTTTCTTCCAGTATATCCATAGTTTCAGGTCCTACATTTAAGTTTTTGGCCCATTTTGAGTTTTTGTTTGTTTGTTTGTTTTTTGGTGCGAGATAGAGGTCTAGTTTTATTTTATTTTATTTGTGATAGATATTTGGTTTTCCTAGTACTATTTATGGAAGAGACTCTCCTAATCTCAGTGTGACTATCACTGGTGTTTTAGACAAAAATCATATGTGTTTATGTTGATTTACTTCTGGGTTCTCTGTTCTGTTCCATTGATCTATTTGTCAGTTTTTATGCCTCTACCATGCTGTCTTCTTTACTATTGTTTCATGGTGTATTTGAAATCTGATAGCGTGATGCCACTACCTTCATCATTTTTCTCAGAACCGTTTTAGTTCTTTGGGATCTTTTGTGGTTCTGTAAAATTTTATACTTTTTTTATATTTCTGTGAAGGATGCCATTGGTATTTTTTTTCTTTTTCTTTTTTTTTTTTTGAGAGATTTTCGCTATAGGGCGCGTTTGCTCGCCAGACAGAGACATAGAGACAGAAAGCGAGAAATCACCCCCCGGGGGGATGGTCACGCCGTAATCCCTTCTCCTCCATTCTGCTCTCGGGATTTTGGGCACGCACGCACACACGCCCGGCGTGAGTTCTAAGCCACCGGGTCTGGGACGTGAACCGCGGGCGACTACGTGGGAATCCAGCGACATAGCCATTACGCTAACTGCTGGTTCCCGCCATTGGTATTTTGATAGGCACTGGATTGAATCTATAGATTACTTTCAGTAGTATGGATATTTCAAAAATATTTGTTCATCTGATCAATGAACTTATTTTTCCTCTTTTTGTGACTTCTTCAGTTTCTTTCAGCAGTGTTTTATGGTTTCATTGTAGAGATCTTTCACCCTCATGGTTAAATTTATTACTAGGTATTTCATTCTTTTTTCTTCTTCTTTCTTTTAGTAGCTATTATAGATGGGATTGACTTCCTGCTTTATTTTTTAGTTAATTTGTTATTGGTATATAGTAATGCTACTAATTTTGTATGTTTTGATATCCTACAATTTCCTCAATTTTTATGTGTTTTCTAAGAGTTGTTTGGTAGATTCTTTAGGTTTTTGTACTTGTAAAATCATGTCATCTGTAAACATGGTCAGTGTGACCTTCTCCCAATAAGGAGGCTTTTTACATTTTTAAAAATTTTTAAAAAGATTATTATTTTTTAAATAATTATTTTATTTAACTTTATTTATTTATCTATTTTAATTTGATCAGAAAGGGACAGAATAAGAGAGAGAGAGAGAGAGAGAGAGAGAGAGAG